CACACACACAGACACACACAGACACTCAGGGCATTTCATTGGGAAGTGTGAGAGGGTGTTATCGACCATATTTCATTACTGATTTCACTCATGTTTCAAATCACAAAATAAGAGTTTCACACTTCAGTGGCCAGACCCAAACCTCTCCTCTCCATCCTTCCCCTCTGTCTGTCCACCCCTCTGCCCAGAGCCAAACCCATTCCACTGGCTGCTCAACCTCCTCCCATACGCCCTTCACAAACTGTCAGGACCCCATACTACCCCCCAACACACACACACACACACACACACACACACACACACACACACACACACACGCAAACACAGCCCCAATTCCCTCCACATCAAATAAGAGAAACTGCCAAGTAAGCACTTTCATTGAGTGGACAAAAGGAGTGCTTTGGGAAAAACACTTTGAAAGGAAATAAAAGAGAACGAGAGAAGGAACCGCTTCAGTACCACAGGCTCTGGGGGTCTAAACACTCATCTTTCCACATACTTTTGTTGATTAGTTAAAAGACTTTGAACCCTGCTTCAGAATCCTTATGTTCAGTAGTTTTTCACAAATCTGTAGTGGTTCAAATAAAGCAACTGGGAAGGACACAAAACAATTTAGCAACAAACAGAAAACTGGTGAATCAGGGTTGTTATGTTAAAAGTATTTTCATTGAAATAAAATCTCTGCTTTAAGACTGACATGACTCAGTTTCTTCCTCCTGTCCTCCCTGCATGGTTCGCTCTCTTCTTCCATCCCACTGTGCCATTGCCAGCCCTCTCCAGAGAGCAGAGGCAAGCTAATTAACATATCTCTAATGAGTCTTTTCATTTTTTTCTAATTAAACGAGCTCCTCAATAATACATGAAAACAGGACACTGCGCTATTCAATTACATACGTATGGGCCACAGCCAAGCACGTGCGTTAATCTGTATGTGTGCATGCCAAGTGGCAGTGTGTTAAGTGTGCCAGGCGTGTGTCTGCCAAGTGGGTGTATATGTGTCTGCTTGTGCCCACCCAGTGTATGAGCGTGTGCCAAGTGTGTCCATTGTAGAGAACGTGCGGCAGGTCATGGAGGCATGCTACGTATCATGCTGGGTAATCCGCCAATTGCCACTCGGTCTGCCAACTGTGTGCCCACCAATTCACTAAGCCACACTTGTGCCACAACCAATTAAGGTAACTGTGGCCAATTATGTCATATACTTACTACAAACACACACCTAACGTGAAATATTCCAAGTCCCACAGAGGGTAAGGATATCTTTCAATATATAATCTCCTACAAAGGAATAGCTTTTTTACTTATTTAGGAAAGACTGCACATGCATGCTTCCATGATGCCCACAACTAATTCAAACGTGGAAGCACCTTGGTTCAGCCGCAGGTTTATGTATGCTTTGCTTAAAGGCACATTCCCAGTAGTTGCTTAATAAGGACATAGAGTTAGGCTTTCCAAGACCATACAGGATTCAAACCTGTATTGGTTGCATGATTTTGCATCTCTTTATTACAAATCCCTATTTTGTTTTGTAACATTCCACTTCTTGAGTAAAACTGGAAAGAGCTTTATTGCCAAGTAGTATTTTACACGTACAAGGAATTTGCTTTGGTGAAGACATACAGTTGACATAAATGAATGTGGAAATATATAAATATGGACTAAACAAATGTAAGCTATATAAGAATAATAAAAGAATAGAGAAAAATATCTATCTATTATTAAAAGTCATAATAATAAAGTCAGTGACAGACTCACTTTAAGAATTTGTGTAAATATGTATTCGAAAAGGCAATTAAATCCTATTTCCAGTCATTTTAAGTGTTAACATTATCTACCAGCATTATTAAGTATTATTTCTATCTCTGTAAAATGGTACTTATGTCAAATTAAAACGCCTCTTTGCTCTTGAATCATCAAACTCCTAAATAATCACTCACACTGTTCTGATTATGCTTTTCAGCAACTGTAGCTGCAATTTTGTTGCACACAATCAATTTTTCCTGCAATTGCCTGTCTAGAGAGTTGAGCTATTGTCGAGTTTCTCCTGAATGTGACACTTGACAGTGACACACACACACACACACACACACACACACACACACACACACACAGTAGATTGATACCATCTCATACAGCCAGCCAAACACAGAGACCATCGCTGAACAACCAATCAAAAAGAAGATATAATCTCAGAGTTTCTTTTGCTCTCAGCTCAGATCCTCCCCTCTATTATAAATAAAGAAAAGAAGAGAAAAATGATGGGGAAGGGGTAGAGGGGCACTGGGGTGGGGGTGGTGCTTGTCAGCGCAGACCAAGGCTTCTCCAGAGAAGTCAAGGCACGAATAGAAGTCTCTCCCGCTCTCCCTGTCTGCCTCTGTCGTTCTCCCTCAGAGAGAAGGGAAAAATCTAATTATCGAGCTCCTAAAGATCTCATTATTGGCTGAGGCTCATTTGCATGTGTGAGAGCAGCCCAGCAGGAACCAACCTGAGGACGGCCATTTTGTGCCTGATGTGAGCCACCGTGTCACTGTACAGTGGCTCACTGCCACCTTTAGAAATGACCAGATTAAATGTCTGGCTTCACTCACTCCATCACTCACTCACCCTATCTGTCCCCGACGGTTGATTGCTTCAGTTTCAGCAACTGAGTGCAGCTGCTGCAATTTAAAAAATGATAATAAAGCTGCAAATTACAATAATTAAGAGATTTCTGTGTGCCACCTTAGCAGTCAGGTTTGTTGTGAGGTCTAGTAAACAACTTCAGGGCTGCTGCTACACACAGGTACACAAACACTTAGTGCTTTGGTGTTTGTGCCTGTGTTTCTGACTGTGGGGATCCAAGTACAAACACACACACAAATGTAAATCCAAGTGTGTGTGTTGGAAGGGTGTGAGAGGCCATGTGAGCTGACAGCTCAGACAACAGAGATGTATTGTGGATGCCCTGGAGAGTGCAGAGAGGCTAGCCAGGGTAGGCACCAACAAACAAGACAAACAAGACAGAGATGGAGAGAGTAGAGGAGGGGTAGTGTGTGTTCTGTGTGTGTGTAGGTGTGTGTGTGTCTCTCTCTGTGTTTAAGACAGAAAGAGAGGGAAGACAGAGGAAGGTAATACTACTTTCATATAAGAGATGCGAGTATGAGGCAGGTCATCTGATGATGCGTTCAACCCCATTCGTGTGAGAATGCTGCCACAGGTTAATTCCTTGTCAGCGTTCACAGAGACCTGACCGTACTTCCTTACATTTCATTGCTAAACAACCAATTTACATCATGTGTTAACTTTTAGTTTCAGTTGCCTCTACATGTTCACGTTCTCTTACTTCCCTGCTTTATATCTCTTTACTTCATTTTAAGATGAGTCAGGGAGTGAACAATTGTTAAAAACATTAGTAACATTTAATTAAATTCCCATCCCCTGATAGAAACTCCAAAGCAGAGCAATGTCCGACATGTGTTTGACCCAAGTCAGAAGGGGGGTCTGATGACACACACTGACCTATTTGGGTAATTTTGGAGTCAAACCATGTGCATCAGTCTGAAAAGGGTATAGCAGGGCAAGCCACAGACAGGAGGAGACTGTACTGTAGGTCAGAGTCTCAGACGTGTATTAATATATGTGTATATATATATATATATAAGTTAGGCCACATATACACCATTTAGTGTTGATTTAGTGTTGATGAGTATAAATGCAATTTCAGTCTTTAGAATATTTTAACAATACAGATCTGATATGAAACAGTATTTGTTTTATTCTCTCATACCTTAAAAGTCACCATGTAACTTCTCCAACTGCCAGTCTCTATCCAAAGTAAATAAAGCGATTCTGATTCCAATTCAGGTTTTGATTAAAGTGTAATCCGCAAGATCCCCCTTTTTAAATGTTATTTCATTTCTGACATCTGCGGTAATAAGCAGTCATTAATTCGGTGGCATTTTGGCACTTCCCAGAGGTCACTTGGCAATTAAACTGTGCGGCTGACACTGCAAAATCTTCTTTGGTCTTTCTATTGATGACGTTTGAGTTCTTTGTATTCTTTTCTTTTCTTTTTCTACTCTGTCAAACTAAACACCCAGCTCTTCCTCTGTTTATCCCAAACAAACCGCTCTTGCTGCTGCTGGAAATATAAAAGGGAGTTTCTTTGCACCAGATGAGTTTTACTGGAAAGACATCACCCAACACCAAATATTTATGAGAACAAATGAAAACGCTTCCATGAAGCATGACATTTATGTTTTATCATCTACATGCAAATGTTTCAGCATTTAACTCTAAAACAAAGTTCCAAATAAAACACACAGTCTTATCACATTTAAATGTTTATTTCCCATGAGCACCTTACTGCCTTCAGACACTGCAAATGAAATTTGACCTTATCCTTGCTTCTGACTCACATTCATCTTTCTCTCTCATCCACCTCTGTGATGGTCCAGCTATCTGTTTGTCATGCGGCACATTAATGAGAAGAGCAGTGCAATAGCCAGACTGCTTGCTGCTCTAGTAGACCCATGGCCCCACTTTATTGATATGAAACATAGGTAAAAATCACACTTCTGCATGTACTCAGCACATCACATAATTGTAAAGAACTGCCAGAAGTAATGTCATGTGTGTAATGCATTAACATGCACAGTGTGTGTGCTGTCTGTTTGTGTGTGTGTATGTGTGTCCCTCAAGTGTCTTTCAAAGGGGATCCTGCACTCCAGCTAACCCTACTCTCTCTGCTTACTGTGGAATTCAACTCTGAAAACAGCTCACTACCCAATTACTACAAAGGCCTCATTCAGACACACACACACACACGTATATGCACAGACAGAGAGAGAGAGAGAGAGAAAAGTAAGTATGTGCCCATATGATACTGTGTAGTTGACGTGGCAGGTTGGTGAATGTAAAGCTGCAGCAACCAGGGGCTTAATATTATAGATTCTGACAAAGCAACACCTGGGCTGGGCATCTGCGTGTGCCTGTATGTGCATTTCTGTGTGCGTTCTGACCTGCACTGGGCTCTGTTTGACCTCGTTGCTGCCAGGGGAGTTGAGTCCAGAGGCCTGCTGGAGGAGGAACTGTCTGGCTGCCTGGAGCGCCTACGAGGGAGAAATAGAGATGATCAGATGTTCATCATGCACACAGTGGAAATATTTGCAGTATTAAATAACAACACAGTCAAAAAAGAAATACGCCCTTCAAAATTACAAAGTATGTTCAAACACACAACCTTACAATCAAACGTTTTTCCAATTTAGATAAAAGAAAAGCACAAAAACACTCTCATCCCTGGCCACTCGCTGCACCCTCTCCCTTTGCCAAGCTGTCAGGTCGGATTTCCTCAACCTGAGAAGTCCACCTTGCACACACTTCTGTGTCTCTATGTGATCGAATTCATCCCAACTCATTCAAAAGATTCCTTAACTCCAAACTCTGACCATCTCCCTTTTCCATTCTTTATTTCTCTGCCGTCCCCTCTGTTCCACTCTCTCTTCCACACCCCTCAGCCTCCTCCTCTTCCTCCCCCCACCCCTTTTCCGAGGAAGGTGCAAAGTGGGTTTTCCACATCCTCTGAGGCAGAAGTGTGTCAGCATATCTTCATGTGTGCCAGTTGCACTGTTTTTTTTGTGTCAGAGTGATGTAAGGAACCATTTGACCTGATGTGCCTTGAAGAGCTGTGACTAACCACCACCCACCTCTTCATTCCTCGCCCTTTTCTCATTTCTCCCTTTTTCTGCCCAGCAGTGCTGCCCATTCAAACCAGTGACACCATCACTCTCTAGCTCTCTGTCTTCAATGCTTCACTCTGTCCTTGAGTGTTGCCAATTCATCCTTGCGACACCACAAACCTCAGCTATCTTTCCTCGTGCCTCTTTTATTATCCCCACCCTAAACTGTATTGAAAACTGTATAAACATCTTTCTTTGTGTCATCGTATTTCTCTCTTTTCTTTGCCGTGTTGCTTGTATTAGTGTTAAAGACTCATGCTCTCTATCATCAAGACAAATCAGTCCCTGAGGAATGGGCATTTATGTTGGAATGTCTGAACTGCTTCTAAAACAAAACAAGAAAACACCCATCTCAAAACACAAGAGCCGGCTTGCACTTACTGTAAGCGCACATACACGCACACACACACACACACACACACACACACACACACACACACACACAAGCACAACCTCATGACAGAGGTTGAGAGAGGGGAGACAGCAGGATGCACATTTGCTTCCTCTGACTCAAAGGGGAAAGGTTCCTTAGTAAATATTGATTTATGAAAGTCCATATGTATGTGTGTGTGTGTGTGTGTGTGTGTGTGCGCGCGCGGGTGTGTGTACGCCACAAATTAACGGCCAGAATGAGGGACGTTCTTTACCATGGAAGCTCTTACTCAACCACGCAGAGCCAGAAATCTGTTCTACTGCATCATTTCACAACTACAGCAAATTGTGACGCTGTGAAACAGTGCGGCACACACTTACTGTATATTGTCACACATTTAATGAATTGTCAAATTAGAAGTTTGGCTACATTAAGTAATGTTTAATTACAAAAACAGAAAGGGGAGATTAGAGGGAGACTGAAAGAGAGAGAAGTTCTCTGTGCAGTCAGAGTGATGAAAACCATCTGTATCGAGCACACTTGCTACTTTTGCTGAGACCGCAATTAAAACACACACGGACGTGGCTTTAGACGTGCCTATACCCACACACACACACACGCACATACACCACGTACATTTTAACACTTTAACAAAAATCTTGGGAACCCCCTCTCATTTACTGGTTTGACCTCAGCATTAAAGCAGGCAAAGACACACACACACACACACACACACACACACACACACACACACACAGTAACGACAAAAAAAAACTACAAAAAAAACACAACCGCCCAGTTAGTTGGCATGTGGTGTGAATTACTCCTTGAACACCCTGTCTGCCCAACAGTGTGTGTGTGTGTGTTTGTCTGTGAGTGTGTGAGTATGCGTGTGTGTTGGCAAGAGTTGGGGAGGCATGTCTGGCAACAATAAGGGACAATTCCACCCAAATTACCACCCTGATTACCACTATATTAAAGAGCCATTTATGGCTTTCATAAACGCTACAACCAAGCAGAGGTGATGCCTGTCTCCTCTCCTACGCCTGTATTCAAGGATGTGGGTATATGTGAGAAAGAAGAACTACCAACAAAGCATGTGACTCTCTAGAAATTGTTGGACAGATACTGTAAAAGAGGGTATTTTAAAGTGTAGATTTACACCATTACCACAGGAACAAAAAACGGTTTATAATTGGCTTCCAGGTGACCATTCAAATCCAGATTTTCCATAATAATCCAATGAATATCGAAATGTGGTAATGTTGAATTTTTCCCCAGCCATAGCCAGGTATACTAAACTGCAGGTAACCATAGCAACAGCTTCTATTATTCTATCTATGCTTCTATTTTACTTTACAACACCAACTCAATTCTGAAACTTAGACAGACTACAACCAACCTTAAGAAGTAGCCGGCACTTCTTCCTTCTTGCCTTTGGTAAGGACACTAGTATGAAAAGTTCCAATATAGAAATTTGTCTTCAGCTCCACCACCTCCTTAATTTTCTTATATCAGGACATTTTGTGTTTCTTTTTGTGTAAATTTGATATAGTTCAGGACATTTAACACATTTAAAAGCTGATGATCTGTTTTATTAGTCTCGTGTGTTTTGTAGTAGTAAACACCATACTAAATCTTTGACAGGTTATTGAAGTAATATTAGCTCACTTCCCCAAATGTAGATGCTTGCTATTTTTTCTGAATCTATAGTTTTATGTTATGGGTATTTACTGTATGTATGTATTGACTGGGATGGGTTAGGGTTAGGGTAACTGTAATTTCACAGATTTTATGGATGAATTAATTGTATCTTGAACTCTCAGCATATGAAGTGAAAAAGAGAACCAGAGGTTTGGTGCAGACACACACACAAGCACACAGACTCACATACATACGGATCCAGGGCCAAACTCTCTCATATCTACATTGTCAAGAAGCACTCCTCTTCTTTGACCCTTCTCTTTCATTTCTCCTCTTCACACTCACTCCCTGCCTTTTTCTCTCTGTGACCTGGGTGAGCTATAGCATTGTAAAGCAATGCCCCCACCCACCCACACACACCAGCTCCTCCTCGACTCCCCCAACTTCCCGCTCCCCCTGTAGCATTCTTGGGGGCGCACTGCACCTTTAAAGAAAATATGAGGGAGGCCTAAGAGGGAGGCCCAACAACAGAGTCTTTGTGCTGCCGCGGAGCACACACACACACACACACACACACACACACACACACACACACACACACACATCAATGGTGTCAGACAGGTTTTATTAGAGTGAGAGAGGGAGGGAGGAGGAGGGGGAAGGGGAAGGAGGGGTGAGGAGGTCACTGCTCAGCTTGGAGGCCTGAGAGCACAGTATGAGAGTGTGTGTGTGTGTGTGTGTGTGTCAGTTCAGTGTGTGAGTTCTTCTGACTTGTCATCGCTCCCCTCTGTAAATCATCGCCTCTGACACAGCCTTTAATAACAGTGCATTTTTTAATTCAGCAGGGTCACACACACACACACACACACACACACACACACACACACACACACACACACACACACACACACACACACACAGTAAAGCCTAGTTTCTCTCCTTAACAGGATTCCGAAAAATGGCTGACAACTATGTTTCTTTGAAAGGAGGGAGGGTTGGTGTGGCAGTTAGGGGATCCATTAGACGAAAAGGATAGAAATTTAATTTTGCTGTGTGTGTATGATGATCTTGCAGTGTGTATGTGAATGTGTGTGTGTACAAGCACATGTCCAAACTCTATGTGAAAGTGGATTCTACCCCACTTACCATGGCTGAGACGTCAGGTTACAAGTTGAAACTCAGATAAGGACGAAAACATAACAATCGACATTTAGCAAGGCCGGGCCTCCTTAACTAGATTGTGTGTGTGTGCGCGTGTGTGTGTCTGTGTGTGTGTGCCTGTGCCCGGCTCAGGTTGCTAAAGCAAACAGGTCTGTGTGTGTGATGAATCTGGCCTCTAATCCGCCTAGTGTGTTTGGGTGAGACAGGGAGAGAGAACGCAGGAATAAGCAAAGAAATCTAAACAGAGAGATGTAGCAAAAGAGGAGGGGGAGGACCAGGGGGGAGAGAGTGAGAGAGAGAGAGAGAGAGAGAGAGAGAGAGAGACAGGTGGGTACCATATGTTGGAGTAGTCCATCAGCAAAGACTGAGGTCCATTGTTGACGGCCAAAAAGAAACAAACTGGTCCCCCTTTTACCCTCTCCTCCTCATCTCCCCCCATAGATAAACAGCCCCGGGGCAGACAGTGGGCTGTCCTTGAGGGAGGAGGAGGGGAGGGAGTTAGGAAGGGCAAGGGGGAGGCAGGTGGTATCAGATTTCTTTGCTCTTAGACCAAGAAGAAGAGAACACAAAAAAAGAAAGGAGCATAAGCGAGGGTGAGTGAGAAGCTCATTGTTTCATCTGTCCACGACAGAGCTAAACTAGGCTAGTCTCAGATGTTTCAGCAGCAACGGACGTAACAGATCTGTCCAGCGCAAAACAAGTATCCCCTCTCTGTCTTACTAGCTCAGCAGCCTGGGAAGAGAGGCTTGTGATGCACCACTCCTCCATTTCTAAACCCCTTTCTTCCCCAGGAGAGAGCGAGAGATGGCGAGAGGGGTAGACAGATATAGGGTGAAGATGTGGAAAAGAGATCGTCACACACAGCTGCCTCTCTACAGGCCTGCACGCTCTCTGATTTCGGATCAGTGAGAGAGACCGGGTTCAGAAAGTAACGGTGGATCTTCTTTTTTTTCCACACTTACTTCCCTCTTTCTCTCTATCTCCTTTCTGGAGTGCTGTCATTGAAGCTGAAAGCCAAGCTAAAGCTGCATCGAAGCTGTCGTCCTCCTGGGTCAGCCCTGTGATCCCTTGTATCTGTGTGCACTGTGCCTCCTCACTTTAGCACCAGAAAACACCTCCGAACTCCAATAAACCCCCCTCCTACTCTAATTTCTCTCTCCTTTTGGCTTGGCCTACTCTCTATTAGTTTTTT